ATCAACAACCAATTGGAATATGCCCTCTGGGAATGCTGATAAACCTCTCTGGATCTCCTTTATTAATCTTTCAAAAAGAAGGGGCTGGACTAAATAGTTTCTAAGGTCCCTTCCAGGTCTTTATCTATGAGTCTTTGAGCTTTCCTAGGGTCTCAGTTTCTATCTTTGTAAAATGAGGCAATTGGAGTAGGCAGATGATCTTGGCTCTTGCTCTGACATTCTATGAGTTTATCCAATTTGCCAGTTTAAGTGTGGGCAGGGGAGAGATCAGTACTTAGATGCCAAGTGATGCTTGCCTATATGAAAATGATGGAAATGGCAATTCTACTGATTGGTTTCTGATGAGAGAAATTTTCTTAACTACTTTCCCCAACTATCTCTTCAGATTTCACTTAACTCTGTGGAAGGAAAGAAGGAAACGAGCATTCATTAAGTGTTTACTATGTGCCAGGCATTATGTCTCCAGATTATGTTCACTTATTGGTCAATGGACAAGACAATCACACAAAGAGTGTCAATCAGAGTCATAACTAGAGTTGGTCAACATTCTTTCCCCTGTTACAGTTTTCTGTCCCACTAGCCCTACTCCCACTCTCTTATCTTGGCAGAATTCCAAGTAAAAGAATGACTAGTTCTAACTCAGGTATCCATAGTTAATGTTTATAGATGGTCTAAAAACCATGTGATCCTTAGGACCCTCTGCTTTCTCCTTAACCACTTTGTCACCATTACTGCAGAAGCAGCAGGTGGCCAGCCACACGACACTGAGGTCCATTTTGTATTTGTCTGTTTCATGGATTCCCATGGTCAAGGAATTTATCACTTAGTGGCCAATCTACTGTGATGAATTAGCCTGTACCTTACTTGTCTGGTTCTTGAGAAAACAGAGACAATCTATGGCTCTTCCTCTTCTATTATGCTTGTGGTTATGTAAGTATGGATGCAGGACAAACTTTTTGAAGGTACAAGTAACCATCAGCAGTACAAATTAAGAAGAGCACTGAGCTGAGATTCAAACTGGGTTCTAATCTCCCCATGGCCTCCAATTAGGAGGTGTCCTTTAGCAAATCACTTCTTTTCCCTGGGCCTCTCTTTGCCCACCTGTAAAATGAAAAATGTGGACTAGATCATCTGGAAGGTGTCTGTAAACTTGAGGACTATGATTCTCAGAAAACGTAGTCCCAAGTGTGAGCTCCCAAATAGTTCCAGTGAAGTTCAAGTTTTATGGCTTGGAGTTCATTTTAATTGTGATGAATGCCAGTTCCCATTGAACTCCCACACCCAGATGGTCAGATATCAGCATTCAATTGAATTTTAATTTAACTTTTAGTACTGAGCACCCCTAAAATGCCTAGGCAATGACCTAATGATCTATAATTAAGCTGCCATTCACCCAGTCCATTGTTCTTGGGTGAGCTCTAAAGAGTGTGTATTTCTGCTGTCCAATCAATGGCTAATCACTTGGCATGATTATAAAAACACTCCTCCATGACAGCTGCCCTCTTCCAGCCCCTGCCCAGTCAATAAAGTGGTATCTGCTAGACTCTAACCTAAACATGGCAGTAGCTTAGGCACAAGCTGCTGTTGGTCACAGAGCAGGGAGGAAAGGCCTTAAAGAGGCAGATGTCATCTGGCCCATTATCCCTGCAGTTCTGGAAAGCTGAAAACTCTCACTATTGTTTTATTTTTTTTCTCACTATTGTTTTAAAGAGAGTTAGGGCATAGGAAAAAAATGACTAAAGCTTCAGTAGGGTTGCTCAGAAGGAGGAGGTGAGGAGGTAGTGGGGACCTTGGTCCAAGGTGGAAGACTTGGGGTTCAAAATCCTTCCTGCCTTCACTACCTATATGCAATGCATGGTACTACAGTTACACCTCCCTCTACTAGGCTACTCCTCTGTACAATGGAGCTAATAGCCATGCCTTCTTCCCACCCTCCTCCCCCCCTTCCAGGAAATGTTGGCTGGATCCACACACTAATTACAAATACAACATACCCCAAAAATGCCCCTCTGAAACCCCCAAATGTCTGTGCCTATATGTGTCTTTGCTGAAAACACCCCCATTTCCTTTGACTCTCAATCTTAAATCAAGGGAGTTTTTTTCCTTTGTCATACTCAATACTGCTCCTTGCCACCAGCTTGCACTTAGCTCCTAAAGCAGACAATGTGATTTTTTTTGCATTAAAAGGGTAAAAAAAAAAAAAAAGGCAAGCAGCAGGATATGGGTTCCAAGACAGGCAAAATGGTGGCTTCCTGTTTCTTTAGTGATGTGCAAGTGGGGTCACTTTTATTTTTGTACATGAAAAATGCATCTTGCAAAATTTTTAAATGGGGAAGAGGTGTTTCAAGCACATTTGTATGAGTAAATGAAGTTGATGGAGGCTGTTTGCCACCATATTGGGGCCTGGCCCTTTGGGGACTTTATCCCTAATATCTTCGAGGATTTCCTATTCTATTTGTGTTTGAAAGAAATGAGGTGAAAAGATGCACGAGAGAGAAACATCTCCCAGATCCACCAAAACCCCCGAAGTAGGTCTCAGTGGGTTCTCCCTTGGTTCTGAAGCCCTGGGCAGGGATAGAGGATGTGAGGGAGGAGGGCCCAGCAAGGTGCTGTCTGGAACCTAAAGGGATGTTTCTCTGCAGCTTGAAGGCAGGAAAGAGAGGAGATAGACTAGGCGCCCCAAGCCAGAGGTGCCACGAGAGGGTGGGATGTGTGTATAGACAGTTCAGAGAGATGTGGAGAGCTGTTTTGTTTCTGTTTGTTTTTTAATCGCATTCTTCGTGGTTGTGAACTCAGAACTCTGGTGGGTAAACTCACAAGAAAGTACAGTACTGCTGAGGGACGGACTCCCAAAGACTCGCACCAACGTGGGGAGAAAAGAGACCTCGTTTCCCACCCTGACCTCCGGGAGGGAGCCGGGTGAACAGCAGAAGCACATGCAAATTAGCCTCCCTGGGCGAGACCCTGGCACAGAGTCGGAGAGGGCCAGTGAGTGGAGCAGGTCCGGCAGCCGCACTGCTGGCGCAGCCTGCCTGCCAGCTTGCTCTCTGGTCATCCTCTTCAAAGGGTCGGAAGGGGAGAGGCTCTGGGGGTCCGGGCTCTCAGGTTCCGGAAACCGAGAGACAGTGGGCTTCGAAGAGGCAGGAGCAGCTCCCCTCTCCCACCACGGGTCGAAATGGCATCTAGAGTGCGCGCGCTTCGCTTCTAGATATAGCTAGGGGAAATCAACAAACGAAGCCATAAAGGCTTGGATTAATTAATATTGGGGAGGGAAGTTTCGTTCCCTACCTCCCTATTCATAGGCTCTTTCATAAGCTGTCTCCCATCTCTTCTCTAATCTGGTCTCTCCAAGAGAAAAGATAAGGAAATCACCAGCTCAAATCTCAGAATGAATTGTGGACCAGCCCGACTGGGTAGTCCCAGCTCTTCAGTGCCTGAAGGCGGACCCCTAACTGAGGGAAGGGGCCCCGAGACACCCACTTCTAGAGGACCCTTCCCACGAGATTTGCAACTCTGCCAGCCCTAACCCCATGGCTTCCATCGGCGTCCACGGCCCAAGCTCTTTAACTTCCCGGCTGGTTCCCCGGGCGCACACCAGTTGCTCAGCGCGGAGAGCCCCTGCCCAGGATGGGTGGGGAAGGATTGGTTTCTTTCTTTATTACTATTACGGGGGACGCGACGGCTAGAAATGTCTCACTCTGCCTGTCAGTTGCAACCTTCCCGTCTCGCCCCTGGGGCTCAGGGAAAACAAAAGTTCCCAGGTCCAGCGCGTCCCCTTCTCGCCCTGCCCTGCCTCGCGGCTGGGTGCGATGGAGAGATCCCGCTCTTAGCAGGGGCAGTGCCCCGCTGGTCCCACTCCCAGCAGGGGCAGGGCCCTGCCTGTCAGGCTCCCAGCCCCCCAACCCCTAGCCCCGAGAGGCCGCAGCTGGAACGGACAGACATCTCGAGGCTGGACACTCCCGGACCCTGAACCATTTCCAGGAAGGTCGGGATCTGAGGGTGTTGCAGCCCCTGGAGTCTGGGGCTGGGCAGCTGCGCTCCTCCGCCCGCCCGCCCCCACTGCCGCCTTTCCCGGGCCCCGCGGACACACCTACCTGCGTTGTTCATCTTCCAAAGACCGGAGCCAACTCTCCGCCGCGCTCGCTGCAGTCCCCCGCCTCAGATCATGGTCCCACCGCCCTGGCAGTCCAAGGTTCGGCTCCTCTCAAAAGCGCTCTTCCTCCCTCTCGGTCTTTCTCGCGCGTGCACTCACCCCCACCCTCTCCAGACCCCGCCTGGGCAAGGCAAAGGAGGAAGCCCCCGAAGCCGCTGACCGGGCGAGAGGGCTCGGAGAAGTTGAGTAGGGGGCTTCAGGGGCGGGGCCGCCGGAGCGCCTGCGGCGGCCAAGCTGAGCGAGGGAACAGTCCGGTCTGGAGGAGGTCGGCTGGGGCTCAGCCGCAGCTGGGGCTGAGTGGCTGCGGGGGGCGCGGCTCGGACCCCGCTGCTGCTGCTACTGTTGCTGCTGCTGCCCCTGCCGCCGCCGCCGCCGCCGCCGATGCTGCTGCCCGGCCCCTAGCTCTGCCCCCCTCCCCCCCTCCCACCCTCCCAGAGCCCAGAGCAGGGCGAGCGCAGACTCGTGGTCAGCTCCCCTGGTCCCCCTGTGCTCTCTGCGCTCTGGTGGCCCGAGCTTTCCTCCTCCTCCTCCACCAACGCCTCCTCCTCCTCCCCCTCCTCCTCCCCCTCCTAGACATTTCCTTTCCTTTCCTGAAGAGGAAGCCCTTTTTTGCTCAGTCAGGGATTGAAGGCAGTGGAGAAAACCGAGGGGGGCGAACACCAGCCAAACAAGCGGAGATTTAAAGGGACAGTGGCCGCTCTCTAAGCCACCCCCGCCCCTCCGGCCCCATCCTCCATCCCTGGGAAGCTCCCCTCAGAACAGGGATACTGTCTGGGGCCCTCCAGGCTATGGGATATTTAAAGAGATAGTCTTGGGATTTATGGCATTTACCTCCTGGCAGAAGGTGTCAGTGGTGTGGGGAGTTTGGGCTGCGTTGGGGAGGGAGATGGAAGGCTAAGTTAGTGTACGTACCGGCTGAGAGCAACCTCAGCTTTCCAAGAAACTCAGGGTCTAGCAGCAGGAGGCGGTGAAACCTCGGGCAGGGACAATGTGAAGCCACACAGAAGCGTATTCGCTAGGTGGGTACAAAGTGTACCTGGTCTGTCTGGGCGCAAGCTTTCGGACGTGGAATCAAATTGGAGCTCCTCTCGTCTGGCACACGGAGCGTCGTTTCTTTGTGACCCCTGCCATGTATAGGTGCACCTTGTTTTACGCAACAGATAGGGTTGTGGAAAAGTTTGGAATAAATCGATTAAAAAAAATAAATCAAATCCCTCCCCCTCTACCCCCCTTAACACACCAGAGGAGCCAAGTACTTAAAGGAACCAGACAGAGGCTCCTTTTGTAATGCAAATCACCACTCTCTAATGTATCCACTTTATGAGTGTGGATTTTTGTGTATTAGACTTAATTAGGGAGAACTCCACCTGTGAAGAATGGAGGTGAAATGAAAGGGGGTGTGGGGTTGTTTCAGTATAGAAAAAAAAAGGCAAGCTGTAGTGGGGAGGGAAGATAGAATCAAGTCCCTCAACAAATCCTCTGGGAATAGAACTCCTTTAAACAGAGTTGTTCAGGCCAGAGGGGTCCTATCTCATCTCATAGGATCATAGATTTAGAGCTGTCAAGAACCTTAAAGGCTAACGAATCCACCCCCACCCCCCATTTTACAAATGAGGAAACTGAGGCAGCGAGGTAAGTAACTTGCCCAAGGTCACGTAGTTAATAAGCAGGTGAAATGGAGTTAAGGCTCCAAGTCCAGTGCCCAATCTCATCCACCGTACCAAGCTGTCTCTCTCCTTGGTCCTGGGTCTGGTCGATGGCAACGGAGGAGGAGACACAAGAGGTACTTCAAGTTCCGGTCTCTCGTTTATTGGCGGGTTGTCCCTGCTGTCCCCTAAGGCTTGCACTCTCTGGCAGTGTTCATAAACCTAGTCATAAAATGTCAGAGAAGTAAGGGACCTTACTACTATCCTGTCCACACCCACCCTCTCATTTTACTGAGGAGGAAACTGAGGTTCAGAAAAAGAAAATTACTTGCCCAAATTCTGTTGTAGCAGAAATGTAAGTGACTGCCATTTTGGCCAATCAGGACACTGAAAACAACCGATCTCACCCGAAGGGGACATAATCAGGATTCTAACTGGGGTATTGTAGGGGGAGGGAATTCATATCCTCCATACATTGCTGTCTCTCCTATTAAAAGAGGCAACATAGCTTAGTGGAAAGGGTTTTGGATTTGGTTCTGGTAGACCTGGACTTATGTATGGACTCATTATTTACTAGCTATGTGACCTTGGATAAGTCACTTCATTCCTCTGCTCGTCAGTTTCATTTTAAAATGGGAATAATAAATATTTGTTTAATATATTTCAGCTCAATGACATAATATTTGTAAGGTGCTCTATGAATTATTATTCTACTTTAGAATTATTTAGAACAATAGACTTGTTATTTTATTAGTAAGCTTATTATTATCTCTGATAAAGAAGTACCTGATAGCAAATGTGCTTAGAACTCACTCTCTTCATTAATCCAGGTATGACTATATTTAGTTTGTAGATCAGCCAGTTTTTGTTTCTTTGTTCTGCTTTCAGGAAAGTGTTTTAGCACTACCAGCAGAGGGAAGGCAAAGGCAGGGGTACCAGGGAGGAGGTGATTCCTAAATCAGGCATTTGGAATGTGTGTGTGTGTGTGTGTGTGTGTGTGTGTGTGTGTGTGTGTGTGTATGAGAGAGAAAATTACAGCAATTTTTGGGTTTGGCCTTATCTGTGAATTCATTTATGCATGGTGGTCCCCCTCTCCCTTACCTGGATGGTGAAATGAAGGCTACATCCCAAATGGGTATATTTCAAGGAACCTAAAGCATTTCCCAAACTTTTAACTGTGTCTACTCCATGCCAGACGTCTGGATCAAAACTGAAAAATGTAGCCCACTCCCCAGATGTTCCCATACATTCAGGTGTTCAGCATCTGTCAGATGAAGAAACCAGATGACTTTGCTGAGTTTTTCCACTTCCTACCAGATTTGCTGCCATGTGGGAGACCTGGCTTTAATCTTGCTCCTCCCTTCTCTCTCTTCCTCACGTCAAGTTAGAGAAAGGAGACAGTGTTCCTCCAATTTCATAGGATCATAGATTTAGAGCTGGAAGGGGCCTCAGAGACCGTCTAGTCCAACTCCTTTATTTTACAGATGAGGAAATTGAGCCCCAGAGAGAATAAATGATTTGTCCAAGGTCATACGGGCAAGAAATGGCTTAGCTGGTTTTCAAACCAAATCTTGAGGTTCCAAGTTCAGAATTCTCTCCACTACACATTGATGACTCCTTTCTTAGCAGAATTACATGACTCACCACAGAGTTTACCTTTGCTGGTCTCAGTTTCCCCAAATGTTAAATGAAGTAATAATGGTAGTAGTAGCAGATATGATCATCTCTAAAGTTCCTTCCAGGTCTAAGCTTCTCTCAATTCATCCAGTAAAAATGACAAGCCCAAGATTACTGAGTAAATCAGAGGCAAAGTCATCTATCTGCCATGGCTCCCTTGCTTGCTTCTGATTTTGACTATTGGGAAGCATAATTGAATGTGCCACCCAAGAGGAGAAGCAATCAAAATGGAATCAAGAAAATTAACATTCCCCATACTCAAATGTTCTTTGTACAAGAACATTTCATAGCTAGGATGTTAAGGGACAAACGGATGGAAAATATTAGTCTTTCCATGGAATAGGCCTGTCGTCCCAGGGCTAGCTAGTCATAAAATAGTGAAATCAGCGGGTTTGTCTTCCTTTTCAGATCATTTTCTTCAAGTTAACAAACAAGCATTTATTAAGCACTTCTCCAGTTCTCTTCTGGCAGGGGAGAACGTGATCTGATAAAGACATCTGTGTTAAAGCGTAGGGGAATTAATGTGCCCTTGAAAAAAGGAGATGAGGAAAAGATTTTGCTTGTCCCACCTTAAAATGAATCCCTAATAGTAGAATTTGGTAACCTGAGGGGACCTGGGTGGGAAGATATTTTTTGGCAGGGTCTCAGAGTGCCTCAAAACACATTATTTATATGGCCTTCTAAGGAAGGGCGTCCTCGGGAAGATGCAAAGATGGGAACCACTCCACTGTCCAGCCTTTAGCCTGTGCAGTCAGGATTTTGTTCATAGCCGAGTAATTGCTGGACTTATTTGTATGGATTAAATAACATAAACTTTAAATGTTTCTTCTTCCTCCACATCTCAGGGGAATTGCTGATAGCCGCACTGCATTTTATTTTAAAATTGTTGTTGCTGTTGTTATTTAGAATTAGAAAGGACTTTAGAGGCCATCTAATTCAACCCCCTCCTTTTGTAGATAAGGAACCTGAGTCAAAAGCAGGCAAAGTGATCCAACTAAGGTTGCATAGGTGCTAAATAGCAGAATCAGGATTTGGTTTCAAATCCTCCGATCCCAGATGGTGTCTTCTTTCTTTTATATCATGGTACTTAGCAAGTCCAGAATGCTATTCAATATATTGTGCATCCTCCTTACAATGTAACCACAAGGTTACTATTCTAAGATTCTTACTAAGGCTCTATTTTCTTCAGGTGGATTCTGAGGACCAAAAAAATAAAAGCTAACTCAGCATGGAGAGGTCATGACAGAGGCTGGGGTCAGTTTTATTTCATTAATAACCAACATCATCACCACTCCCTGTGAGATATGTCCAGGAGAGATGCAGGGGGAGGGAAAAACTGACTCCTCTGGAAACGTATTCCAGAGTCTTCTTAGCTGATGTAAGATGGAGTCTTTGATGCTAAATAGAATTCTATTTGAAATCAGCCCATAAACCAATGATGGTGGGGATGGTAGGGGAGCGTGGGACAAAAACTAAAATCCAAATCATTTAAGAGCAGCCAAATTAATGAGCAAAGTGACTAGTCATGAAGCCAAAATTCCAGTTCCTTGGCTCACTCTACTGGGAAACCACCCTTTGGTGAATTGAGGGGGAGGAGGAGAAGGGGAGAGAGCAAACTGTTAACATCTGAAGCTGATGTGACAATATTTGCTTAATAATATTAGGTGTCACAATAGCCTGGAAAAAGCTTGAATACTGGCTCCATTCTCTACTAGCTATATGATGACGAACCAGTTGTGAAGCCTCAGTTTCCTCCTCTGCAAAATGAGAACCATAATACTTGTATTACCTACCTCACAGGGTTGGTGTGTTGAAAGTATTTAAGCCTCCAAGCACTGGCAAAGTGTCAGTTACTATCCAGCACTTAGCATGGCATCCTGTACTCCATATTGCTTAAATGTTGAGTTGATTTGTCATCAATTACATCTGTATAGATGCCATTTGACTAAAATAGAAATTCCTCCATTTAATTTTTAAAGCTCTTTATAACCTGGCCCCAATCTATGTTTCCAGTTTTGTTGGACATCCTTCCTCTCTCACACTCAGTGATCCAGCCAACTGGCCTTCTCTCTATTTCTCACACAGGACACTCCATCTCCGGTCTCTCTGTTTTCACACTGGCTGTCCCACATACCTGGAACACACTCCTCCCTACTGCCACCTCATTGGGTCACCTCTGTTTCTTTAAGATGCAGGTCAGACCCCACCTTCTGCATGAAATCTTTCTTGATCCCCCCCGCCCCAAATATCAGCATCCTCCTTCCCAAACTACCTGGTATAGAACTGCTTTGTGTTTATATATTGATTTGCTTTATAATTGTGCTATATATATTTTACATGTGTTTATTATTTCTCCCTTTAGAATGTGAACATGTTGGGAGTTTTTAGGTAAAGACTTTCATTCTTTGAAGCCTCAGTGCCTACAACAGTGACTAGCACATAGTAGGTGCTTGATAAATATTTGTTGATTGGTTGATTGACTCTTACAACCATTCTGTGAGGCAGACAGGATAGGGCCTATTGTTCTCACTTGACATTTAAAGAAACTGAGGCCAAGAGAGGGGAAATGAGTTTCCCAGAGTCACAAAACTTGTCAATGGCTCAGTTAGGCCTGGTACCCATGTTTCCTGCCTTCCATTCTCCTGTTCTTT